TAATAAATTATTTTTATTTCTTCACAAACACAATTCTTGTAAAAAAAATTAAATCTGTTATATCAAAAAACTAGATCGTTTTATAAAATATAAATTATTGCGCTTAATAAAATATAAATACAGTTTATTTGTAACGTGATCCTAAGAATAAAAAGGTTATTTTCTTTTTTAATTCTCTACTAAAATGAATTAATGAGTTATTTTTATTCATCATGGCTAGTCGAGGAGGAGAAAAAAAATGTCGAATTTCACTGTTTTGGTTAATGTAATTTCGTTCTCCCACCACATTTACGCGTAATCCATCGCCAATTCCACTTGCAATCGCCTAGTTTATAATCTACGGTATGTTTTGTCAATTCGCATGCCGGGCAAATGTATACCGGGCAGTGACACTTGAACTTAAAAACACATCAGTGTAGGGTATACCGGGCAAATGTATACCAGGCAGTGGCACTTGACCTTAAAAAAACATCAGTGTAGGGTATACCGGACAAATGTGTACCGAGCAGTGGCACTTAACCAGACCTAGTATTACTAGACCTTTGGTATATGTCCGAAATATATACTAGGTCTAGTGCCACTTTTGCTATAGCTTAAATATTTAAAAAAAGTTAAACAAAGCGATCATCAATTTTAAACTGATAACGAAATTATTGCTTTAAAATTAAAAAAATAATAATAAAAACTGCGCCAGATAAGAGTAATTGAAATAGTTGCTTTATACAGCACATGTGCGGAAAAAAAAATTTAAAAAAAAATTATCCAGGTGCATCTAAAAGTGGATGAATATCCCAAGACACACGGCAATAATATTTTAAAAAAGCACATTCTATAAAAAATTTACCGATTTAAATATTTATTAGAATAATATTAAGTTTCAAAAGTCGTTGTTTCTCTTATTCATTTTCAAAAAAAAAAAAAATAGAATTGGGAAAAACTATAAAAATAATTTACAGCAAATTATTAACATGCAAGTTTTTAATTCTTATTATGTCCAAGGCTTTCAAATAGTGATGGTTTAATTATTTTTAAAAAATTAATCTTCCGTCAATAAAAAAATATAAATAATTTATTTCTTTAAAAAAACGTTTTAAATTATATTATTATATTTAATATAAATAATTAAAAATAATTTTTATGAATATTTTTAATTAATCTTTCCAAGGGAATGTAGCAGTCTCTAGTCACTAAGTTTTTTAAAAACTTTTATAGCTTTTCTCTGCATAAATAAATAAATAAAAACTTTATTTTATTTAAAAATAGTAATATAATTTAAATAATATCACATTACAATTTATTTCTTATTAAATGTATTAGCTTTCGTAAACATAAACACTAAGATAAACTACAATATATCCGTGTTCAAAAATATCCGTCAATTAATTTTTGTCAAATATTTTTATAAATATTTTATCAAATTAATCAAATTAATTAAATATTTTATTAAATTTTATAAATATTTTATCAAATATTTTATTAAATATTTTTTTGTCAAATATTTTTAATTTAGTCATAATCGTTGCTATGCATCACTGATTATAATATAGTAGAACTCTTTATTCCTTACCTTTTCTGCTTAAGATATAAAAAGAAGGAAAATCATTAAATATTTGCTTGATGCGAAAATTATTTAAAATCCCCAACACAATGCTTTTTTTAAAAAAAAAATGTATTTTTAAAATAATTTTAAATTACAAATCTATAAAAATCTATAAACTGTTGGATAATGAAGAAAATGTTGACTCAAAAGCCTTAGTTCTACAAAAAGTCCGAGATTTTCTTAGTTCTTGTCGGATGCAAGACTTAGTTTTTGTCATAATCCTAGTTTTTGTCATGTATTGAACAAAATTTAGCCCGAATTTGTCCCGAAATTCACGCAAGTTATAATTTTGCTAGACGCTACTGGAATTTATTAAAAAAAATGAGAATTTTTTAGTGATTTTTTAAAGTGTACAGTATATGATAATGAATAGAAAAGCATATAATGAAATAGGATGGTCTAATTCATACTCACGCATTTGAAGAAATTTTTAATTACCGTTTAACATAAATATGATTGAATTCCATTACTATGGTACTAATTCTCCTCTTTCACAACGGGGAAAGTGTTGCCCGTTTCCTCAGCAATTGCCTACTATTGAGATGACCCAGGTTCAAATCTCAGCTATGACTGCTTAATACGAACTTAGCTCCTGGCTCTCACCGACCGAGTTCTAACATAAATTATCATAGACGGATGGTAAACGGATTAAGGTTGAATCCCCTAGATTGTCAAGATAACAAGCCCTCCACAAAGGCTAGTTTGCTACAATGATTCATCCAAGAGATTCCATGCTTTCTAGGTTGGATTCAAAATTATAAGCATTGATAGACATTGATAGAGTTGAACATTGATAGACGTAAACTGAAATTGGGTCGACAGTTTCACACTGGTTATAAAATATAAAATCTCAAAGCAAATGTCAAGAAACATTAAATTGAATGGTCTATGTGATAACAAAACGAAAAATTACACAACCATAAAATGACAAAATAATGCTCTAAATGAACTTCAACAACGAAAACTCATTGTTTTTCCATGTAGTATTTCATTTTTACGAACGTCTGATGTGACTCAATTGGTTTTTCATCGACAACATTTTATAACACAACTATTACAAAAAATTTCAAAATGAATTGCTGAACTTTTCAAGTATGGATCAGATATGCTCTGCGCTGGTTATATAAAAAAACGTTCTAAGCATTCATTCGCTTTTTCGAGTATGTAGTACAATAATGCCTTGAATAAAATGTTAGAATTTGATATACAGAAATGCTAACTTACTTTGCACCACTGGCTTTTATAATGTCTGCCCATTGTTCTGGGTTGTAAAACTCAGCGGTAAAATCTGATGCAAATTCTGGGTATGTAAAACCTGGTTTATAATTTTTGTTCATAAATTCTACAAAACTTGGCTCTTTTCCTTCCCAATCAGACCAAAACCATTCTGATCCGAATCCTGGGACAGAAAACACACCCCAGTGAATAAAAACGCCGATCTTAACTTCGTCATACCAATCTGGCAATGGCCTGGAATCCAAAGAGATCCAATCAGGTGTGTAGTTTCCTATTACGAGCTGCAATGCAGCCAGAAAAAGTGCATTAGTCAGTAGCATGACCGCGTATGAAGATAAAATTTTCTCTCGAATACAACTTTGATGTTATTGTCTTATCGCTTAACAAATAGAGTCTTATCTCTCTAGATTAAAAAGAAGATTTCTTAAAGTTTTCCCGAGAATACTGATGTTTTTTGATAGATTAAAGCCGTTTTATCTAAGAGCTGTTACTTAAATGCTTTTTATAGACGATATTCCATTTTCGCATTCTATTATGATAGTTTAAGCCTTCTTCCACTAAAAACTTGAGTACTTAAACATCAAATTTTTAAAAATGGCGGAAAATAATTTAGAATGTCAATAAAATAAATTCTTGCTGTTTGGATTTATTAGTAAAATATTTTATCCGACTTCTAAAAGGGAGTAGTTATTAAAATTTATTACAAACACTAAAACTGCATATTACAAATCACAAAATTTAGTCAAGTACATTATCTGATTTACTCTTTATTTTATAAATTTATAAATTTAGTAATTTATAACCTATGTTTCAAGTGAATTTCTTATTTTAAGAGGTTACAAAAAATTCGTAAGTGTCCTCCATTATTTTTATATGTATACACTTAGCGTATCATTATTTGGACTAAAAGTTGCTTCTTAAAAATTTTGAGTTCATATTTTTTGACATATACGGGTATTTTTAAAAAAAACATCGATGCTCACTTTGTAAACTGAAACAATTTTAAAATTATTTCCTGATTGCAAAGAAATAAAAATAAAAATAGGAAATTGTCCTTCATTGAGTTAATTATACATATATGCTTTTTACGTGAGTAAACAAACCCTTCTTAAAAATTTTCAGTACATTTTTCTTGAAACATATTGGTATTTTTGAAAGAAAAGAAAGTGATGATCACTTTGTAATTAGAAATAAGTTTCATGTTAATTCCTCATTGCAAAAAATAAATAAAATTTATAAAGTGCCCTCCAATTTGTTAACCATATCTATGCTCTTAACTTGGCATGGTTTAGACTAAACAAATACTGCTTAAAAAATTTGCAGTATTTATTTCTTCACATTTATGGGGGGGGGGGTATTTTTGAATACTTTAACACTTACTTTGTTATCTGAAACAAGTTTAAAATGAATTTCTCACTGGAAAAGTAACATAAAATTCGCAAAATGTCCTTCATTATGTTAATTATATACACGCTCTTAACGAAGCATTGTTTGAAATGAAAATTGCACCCTAAAAAATTTGGATATCTATTTCATCACATTAATGGGTATTTCTGAAAAAGTTAATAAGTATAAAAGATAAATCTTCGGTGTGTTTACCCTATTAGAATTGCTTTAAGTTGAAAAGCGAAACCTACTTACTTGAAATTGCATTGTCATTTAAAACACACACATACACACGCATATATATATATATATCAACTTTTTGAGTTAATACATCTATTATAGCAAAGTATTTATTTTCGAGATAGTAGTTATATGCACTTCTCATAACGAAAGAAGGTGTGTAATGTTAGATGTGTAGTTATTAAGTTATTTCTAAAATGTAACCTATTGAAAAAAGTAAATGCATATTTTTTTATAAACTGTAAATAGTTATATCCTCTACGTTTATCAAGTTTTTTTTTTAAATATTTAAATATATTTTTGAATGTAGGAGAGAAGAATTTTAATAATAAATTTATTGCTTTTTATATTACTGCTTTCTTAGTGCACTGAGAAAGAAAGTCTGGTTAAAATTACCAGAATACCATAATTCACCATGTTTCTGGCTCTATGGGAGCACCAAAAAGCTCAGTATTCTTAGTTAGTACTGGTTAGTTAAAATTAAAAATATAAAATGGTTTTATAATATGGTAAATGTTTCAAAATTTGATAATTTATCATAATACCTTAAATCATGGAATAAAAATAATTATTCAGTTAAAAAAATTTTTTTTAGTTTTGTATTTTTTACTAAATAAATAATTTATAAAAATATTTATTCAGTTAAAAAAAAATTCAGTTTTGCATTTTTTTCTGAATGTGCGGTAATAAGTGCCATAATTTTTCAATAAACCAGTACCAGAATTTTTGGTAAACCGTTACCATTTGATTGAAAAAATTACCAAATAAGTAGTTTAAATGCTGTATATTTTGATTTTTTATTACCAGAAGTATGGTTTGTTTTAATGTAAATACCATAAATGTTGATACCATTCAGTACGGTAACTTTACTCCATTTATTACCCCATGTGTAAAACAAAAACTTTTCTAAGACCAAAATATTGCTTTGTCCCGACTGAATTTTCTTAAGTGAGAGTTTACAGTATAGTTTGTCTACTGTAAGAACTCCCGCCGCCACAATGTCTGAGGCCGTCTGCTGCTATGGAATAGGGCATTTCAGGAAGGGTAGCTTCTCTACTCTCTAGGGCACAGTAAACCGAAGAAAAAGATTCCATTTCTCTCGCCTATCCACGCCAAAACCTGTCCTAAACAGTGACCCCACTCCCATACTTGAAATAGTTATACCTCGTTACTGTAGTTACCCGCCACAGGTTCAAACGAATGGTTAGGAGATTTCTTAATTTAGACAAACTATAGTTACGTTATTTGATTATCATATTTTACTAAGCGCATCAAAATCTAAAGTAATAATCATTAAAAAGCTAGTATAAACTTTTTTTACATTTTACTTTAAAGAATAGGTTCTAAACTCGTTGTATTAGTATTTTCAAAAATTGGAAAGAGAAACTAACTACCTTCGCCTATTTCAAGGGTTACAAAATCTATTACTCTTAACTCTCTAATGAGAAGGACAGCAGAAATTGATTTCACGGATTTGCCCGAAATGAATTTGCACATGGAAAAATTAACAAAGAAAAAATTTTAGTAGATAATTTTAGCCACGGATTTGCCCGAAATGGATTTGCACATGGAAAATTGTAGAAATTAATATAGAAATTTTTATCAAACAATTTTATCCACGGATTTGCCCGAAATGGATTTGCACATGGAAAAACTGTATAGATTAACAAATGAAATTATTTAGTAAAGGCATTTTTAGTAAATAATTCTAACCACGGACTTGCCCGAAATGGATTTGCACATGGAAAATTGTATAAATTAATAAAGAAATTTTTAGCAAACAATTTTATCCATGGATTTGTCCGAAATGGATTTGCACATGGAAAAGCTGTATAGATTAACAAAGGAAATTATTTAGTAAAGGAATTTTTAGTAAATAATTCTAACCACGGATTTGCCCGAAATGGATTTGCACATGGAAAAATTATATAAATTAACAAAGAAATTATTTAGTAAATAATTTTGGCAATGAATTTTGGCCTGAAATGGATTTGCACATGGGAAAATCATAAAAATTAACAAAAAA